ATGTACCGCGTGTCTTCAGAACAGGATCTCCCCGGACTCTCCTCGCCTAGTATTACTGTCTATTAATGCACCGCGTGTCTTCAGAATAAGATCTCCCCGGACTCTCCTCGCCTACTATTACCGTCTATTAATGTACCGCGTGTCTTCAGAATAGGATCTCGCCGGACTCTCCTCGCCTACTATTACTATTAATGTACAGCGTGTGTTCAGATTAGGATCTCACCGGACTCTCCTCGCCTACTATTACTGTCTATTAATGTACCCGCGTGTCTTCAGAATAGGATCTCACCGGACTCTCCTCGCCTACTATTACTGTCTATTAATGTACCGCGTGTCTTCAGAATAGGATCTCACCGGACTCTCCTCGCCTACTATTACTATTAATGTACCGCGTGTCTTCAGAATAGGATCTCACCGGACTCTCCTCGCCTACTATTACTGTCTATTAATGTACCGCGTGTCTTCAGAATAGGATCTCGCCGGACTCTCCTCGCCTACTATTACTATTAATGTACCGCGTGTCTTCAGATTAGGATCTCCCCGGACTCTCCTCGCCTACTATTACTGTCTATTAATGTACCGCGTGTCTTCAGAACAGGATCTCCCCGGACTCTCCTCACCTACTATTACTGTCTATTAATGTACCGCGTGTGTTCAGAATAGGATCTCCCCGGACTCTCCTCGCCTACTATTACCGTCTATTAATGTACCGCGTGTCTTCAGAATAGGATCTCACCGGACTCTCCTCACCTACTATTACTGTCTATTAATGTACCGCGTGTCTTCAGAATAGGATCTCACCGGACTCTCCTCGCCTACTATTACCGTCTATTAATGTACCGCGTGTCTTCAGAATAGGATCTCACCGGACTCTCCTCGCCTACTATTACCGTCTATTAATGTACCGCGTGTCTTCAGAATAGGATCTCGCCGGACTCCCCTCGCCTACTATTACTGTCTATTAATGTACCGCGTGTCTTCAGAATAGGATCTCACCGGACTCTCCTCGCCTACTATTACCGTCTATTAATGTACCGCGTGTCTTCAGAATAGGATCTCCCCGGACTCTCCTCGCCTACTATTACTGTCTATTAATGTACCGCGTGTCTTCAGAATAGGATCTCCCCGGACTCTCCTCGCCTACTATTACCGTCTATTAATGTACCGCGTGTCTTCAGAATAGGATCTCCCCGACTCTCCTCGCCTACTATTACTGTCTATTAATGTACCGCGTGTCTTCAGAAAAGGATCTCACCGGACTCTCCTCGCCTACTATTACCGTCTATTAATGTACCGCGTGTCTTCAGAATAGGATCTCCCCGGACTCTCCTCGCCTACTATTACTATTAATGTACCGCGTGTCTTCAGAATAGGATCTCACCGGACTCTCCTCGCCTACTATTACTGTCTATTAATGTACCGCGTGTCTTCAGAATAGGATCTCACCGGACTCTCCTCGCCTACTATTACTATTAATGTACCGCGTGTCTTCAGATTAGGATCTCACCGGACTCTCCTCGCCTACTATTACTGTTTATTAATGTACCGCGTGTCTTCAGAATAGGATCTCACCGGACTCTCCTCACCTACTATTACTGTCTATTAATGTACCGCGTGTCTTCAGAAAAGGATCTCACCGGACTCTCCTCGCCTACTATTACTGTCTATTAATGTACCGTGTGTCTTCAGAATAGGATCTCACCGGACTCTCCTCGCCTACTATTACTATTAATGTACCGCGTGTCTTCAGAACAGGATCTCCCCGGACTCTCCTCGCCTACTATTACTGTCTATTAATGTACCGCGTGTCTTCAGAATAGGATCTCACCGGACTCTCCTCGCCTACTATTACTGTCTATTAATGTACCGCGTGTCTTCAGAACAGGATCTCCCCGGACTCTCCTCGCCTACTATTACTATTAATGTACCGCGTGTCTTCAGAATAAGATCTCACCGGACTCTCCTCGCCTACTATTACCATCTATTAATGTACCGTGTGTCTTCAGAATAGGATCTCACCGGACTCTCCTCGCCTACTATTACTATTAATGTACCGCGTGTCTTCAGAATAAGATCTCCCCGGACTCTCCTCGCCTACTATTACCGTCTATTAATGTACCGCGTGTCTTCAGAATAGGATCTCACCGGACTCTCCTCGCCTAGTATTACTGTCTATTAATGTACCGCGTGTGTTCAGAATAGGATCTCCCCGGACTCTCCTCGCCTACTATTACTATTAATGTACCGCGTGTCTTCAGAATAAGATCTCCCCGGACTCTCCTCGCCTACTATTACCGTCTATTAATGTACCGCGTGTCTTCAGAATAGGATCTCACACGGACTCTCCTCGCCTACTATTACCGTCTATTAATGTACCGCGTGTCTTCAGAACAGGATCTCCCCGGACTCTCCTCGCCTAGTATTACTGTCTATTAATGTACCGCGTGTGTTCAGAATAGGATCTCGCCGGACTCTCCTCGCCTACTATTACTATTAATGTACAGCGTGTGTTCAGATTAGGATCTCACCGGACTCTCCTCGCCTACTATTACTGTCTATTAATGTACCGCGTGTCTTCAGAATAGGATCTCACCGGACTCTCCTCGCCTACTATTACTATTAATGTACCGCGTGTCTTCAGAATAGGATCTCACCGGACTCTCCTCGCCTACTATTACTATTAATGTACCGCGTGTCTTCAGAATAGGATCTCACCGGACTCTCCTCGCCTACTATTACTGTCTATTAATGTACCGCGTGTCTTCAGAATAGGATCTCCCCGGACTCTCCTCGCCTACTATTACTGTCTATTAATGTACCGCGTGTCTTCAGAATAGGATCTCGCCGGACTCTCCTCGCCTACTATTACTATTAATGTACCGCGTGTCTTCAGATTAGGATCTCACCGGACTCTCCTCGCCTACTATTACCGTCTATTAATGTACCGCGTGTCTTCAGAACAGGATCTCCCCGGACTCTCCTCACCTACTATTACTGTCTATTAATGTACCGCGTGTGTTCAGAATAGGATCTCCCCGGACTCTCCTCGCCTACTATTACCGTCTATTAATGTACCGCGTGTCTTCAGAATAGGATCTCACCGGACTCTCCTCGCCTACTATTACTGTCTATTAATGTACCGCGTGTCTTCAGAATAGGATCTCACCGGACTCTCCTCGCCTACTATTACCGTCTATTAATGTACCGCGTGTCTTCAGAATAGGATCTCACCGGACTCTCCTCGCCTACTATTACCGTCTATTAATGTACCGCGTGTCTTCAGAATAGGATCTCACCGGACTCTCCTCGCCTACTATTACCGTCTATTAATGTACCGCGTGTCTTCAGAATAGGATCTCCCCGGACTCTCCTCGCCTACTATTACTGTCTATTAATGTACCGCGTGTCTTCAGAATAGGATCTCCCCGGACTCTCCTCGCCTACTATTACCGTCTATTAATGTACCGCGTGTCTTCAGAATAGGATCTCCCCGGACTCTCCTCGCCTACTATTACTGTCTATTAATGTACCGCGTGTCTTCAGAAAAGGATCTCACCGGACTCTCCTCGCCTACTATTACCGTCTATTAATGTACCGCGTGTCTTCAGAATAGGATCTCCCCGGACTCTCCTCGCCTACTATTACCGTCTATTAATGTACCGCGCGTGTCTTCAGAATAGGATCTCCCCGGACTCTCCTCGCCTACTATTACTGTCTATTAATGTACCGCGTGTCTTCAGAATAGGATCTCACCGGACTCTCCTCGCCTACTATTACCGTCTATTAATGTACCGCGTGTCTTCAGAATAGGATCTCACCGGACTCTCCTCGCCTACTATTACCGTCTATTAATGTACCGCGTGTCTTCAGAATAGGATCTCACCGGACTCTCCTCGCCTACTATTACTATTAATGTACCGCGTGTCTTCAGAATAGGATCTCACCGGACTCTCCTCGCCTACTATTACCGTCTATTAATGTACCGCGTGTCTTCAGAATAGGATCTCACCGGACTCTCCTCGCCTACTATTACTATTAATGTACCGCGTGTCTTCAGAATAGGATCTCCCCGGACTCTCCTCGCCTACTATTACCGTCTATTAATGTACCGCGTGTCTTCAGAATAGGATCTCCCCGGACTCTCCTCGCCTACTATTACCGTCTATTAATGTACCGCGTGTCTTCAGAATAGGATCTCCCGGACTCCCCTCACCTACTATTACCGTCTATTAATGTACCGCGTGTCTTCAGAATAGGATCTCACCGGACTCTCCTCACCTACTATTACTATTAATGTACCGCGTGTCTTCAGAATAGGATCTCCCCGGACTCTCCTCGCCTACTATTACCGTCTATTTAATGTACCGCGTATCTTCAGAATAGGATCTCCCCGGACTCTCCTCGCCTACTATTACTATTAATGTACCGCGTGTCTTCAGAATAGGATCTCCCCGGACTCTCCTCGCCTACTAATACTGTCTATTAATGTACCGCGTGTCTTCAGAATAGGATCTCCCCGGACTCCCCTCATCTACTTCTAATGCCTATTTAAAATTTTTGGATTTTTTGGGTGATATAAAAAAATATAATTTGTTTATGAAAAGTGACTGCCCATGTTTATTATGTGTTCTGGCTCGACAAAGTCCAAGTGACCCAACCGCCACATTAATTTACAGGTCTGTTATGTAGAACATGATATTACCCAGCAGTCTCTTCCCCATTTGTAGAGGTTTAGTTGTATATTTTTCCCAGGTAACATTACCATAAAGTCTTTCTATTGGCAATATGTACACATGGTGGCCAGAACTACCATCTCCAGTTGTTAAGACCCTTTATACTTAAGTCGCATTGTCCACAGGGGAGTCTCAGCAGTAGCCCATTTGATTGCATTAACCATTCAGTAGATACAAAGCATTGTTATTTTTCTTCTCTGTAAATGGAAATAAGTCCTTCTCTTCATCTTGAAATTTAATATCATCTGTCTGTATTTGTCACTGCAGTTTGGATCAGTGTGGCGTGACGTCCTCATGCTGTGCCGATCTCCGTTCCATTCTTATCACTAATCGATTTCTCACCACACTGCATTTATCAAATAATAATCTTCAAGACTCTGGAATAAAACTTTTGTGCGAAGGACTTAAACACCCGAGATGTACACTGCAGAAGTTGAGGTTAGCAAAAAAAAAAATCCTTTAAAAAGCAGACTTTGGGGATGATTTACCAATGTACATAGGATTTTGATTTCATGGACAGGCCAATGCCTACATACATCGGCACAGCATATTTGGCTGTGGCGTTTTTTTTTTTTTTACTCTTTCACATTTAGCTTGGCTGTCATACAGTTGAAGCATTCCAATTTGATTTATTTCAAGTAAATAAAAAAAATCCTACAGGTATTTTCATAGCAACACATGATTTATTTTTATTAAGTGATGATAGTGCCCCATCATAGGTATTAGTGGAGGAATATTACCCCATTGTTGGTATCAGTGACAGAAATTACTCCCCGTTGATGATGTCAGTGGAAGGAATAGTGCCCTAAGGGCCGGAGAAAAGCAAGCAAAGGTTTGGAGACCAGTAGCCTAGCCTTAGATAATGTTCAATACTTTTTTTAGTGACTTTGATGGAGCTTGGATTCACCACCATAACTTTAGTAATGTTCTCTCCAAACCTACCCTGAATAGAACCCATATATGTTCAATTAATTGCTAGAGAAAACTGTCATACTTGACCATTGTGGTTGTTACCTCCAAACCAAACGTTCGAGCCCTCAAACAGCTGCTCCCATAGATGATCATATATGCACGTGCATAGCAACTGCAGATCTAATCAGAGGGTAAGATGGCACTTTCCATCGCTGTAAAGGACAGGAGGGTTTCATTCAGTTAAGAGAATGATAACAGTGGGCTTACCCAATCAGTGTTTAACCGCTTCCCGTCCTCCCTATAGCAGATATACTGCTACAAGGCGGCACGGGTGCGCAAAATCACGTATATACAGTGGGGCAAAAAAGTATTTAGTCAGCCAGCAATTGTGCAAGTTCTCCCACTTAAAAAGATGAGAGAGGCCTGTAATTGGCATCATAGGTAGACCTCAACTATGAGAGACAAAATGAGAAAACAAATCCAGACAATCACATTGGCTGATCTGGAAAGAATTTATTTGCAAATTATGGTGGAAAATAAGTATTTGGTCACCTACAAACAAGCAAGATTTCTGGCTCTCACAGACCTGTACCTTCTTCTTTAAGAGGCTCCTTTGTCCTGCACTCATTATCTGTATCAATGGCACCTGTTTGAACTTCTTATCAGTATAAAAGACACCTGTCCACAACCTCAAACAGTCACACTCCAAACTCCACTATGGTGAAGACCAAAGAGCTGTCGAAGGACACCAGAAACAAAAATTTAGACCTGCACCAGGCTGGGAAGACTGAATCTGCAATAGGCAAGCAGCTTGGTGTGAACAAATCAACTGTGGGAGCAATAATTAGAAAATGGAAGACATACAAGACCGCTGATAATCTCCCTCGATCTGGGGCTCCACGCAAGATCTCACCCCATGGGGTCAAAATGATCACAACAACGGTGAGCAAAAATCCCAGGACCATACGGGGGGACCTAGTAAATGACCTGCAGAGAGCTGGGACCAACGTAACAAAGGCTACCATCAGTAACACACTACGCCACCAGGGACTCAGATCCTGCAGTGCCAGATGTGTCCCCCTGCTTAAGCCAGTACATGTCCGGGCCCGTCTGAAGTTTGCTAGAGAGCATTTGGATGATCCAGAAGAGGATTGAGAGAATGTCATATGGTCAGATGAAACCAAAATAGAACTGTTTGGTAGAAACACAACTCGTCGTGTTTGGAGGAGAGAGAATGCTGAGTTGCATCCAAAGAACACCATACCTACTGTGAAGCATGGGGGTGGCAATATCATGCTTTGGGGCTGTTTCTCCGCAGGGACCAGGACGACTGATCCATGTACAGGACAGAATGAATGGGCCATGTATAATGAGATTTTGAGTGCAAACCTCCTTCCATCAGCAAGGGCATTGAAGATGAAATGTGGCTGGGTCTTCCAACATGACAATGATCCCAAACATACCACCCGGGCAACGAAGGAGTGGCTTTGTAAGAAGCATTTCAAGGTCCTGGAGTGGCCTAGCCAGTCTCCAGATCTCAACCCCATAGAAAACCTTTGGAGGGAGTTGAAAGTCTGTGTTGCCCAGCGATAGCCCCAAAACATCACTGCTCTAGAGGAGATCTGCATGGAGGATGGGCCAACATACCAGCAACAGTGTGTGCCAACCTTGTGAAGACTTACAGGAAACGTCTGACCTCTGTCATTGCCAACAAAGGATATATAACAAAGTATTGACATGAACTTTTCATATTGACCAAATACTTATTTTCCACCATAATTTGCAAATAAATTCTTTCCAAATCAGCCAATGTGATTGTCTGGATTTGTTTTCTCATTTTGCCTCTCATAGTTGAGGTCTACCTATGATGCCAATTACAGGCCTCTCTCATCTTTTTAAGTGGGAGAACTTGCACAATTGGTGGCTGGCTAAATACTTTTTTGCCCCACTGTATATATGGGGTGTCCTACCCACGCCGCCATTTGCGGCTGCGGGTGTATCACCCGGTCCCGGCCAATGCCTGGTGATTGCCGAGGATCTCCGGAGGGGAGGATAACTGTATGTAAACAATACAGTTCTCCTCTCTGTCAGCTCCTGCACACCACTTGGGATGGCTGTGCACAGCCATGCAAAGCAGTGTGATTGCAGTGAAGCACAGACACACAGGCCAAAGTAAAACAGCACACAGTTAACCCTTTGATCACCCCTTATGTTAACCCCTTCCTGCCCAGCGCCATTAGTACAGTGTCAGTGCTTTTTATTAGTATTGATCACTGTATTGGTGTCACTGGGGATGTCAGTGACACCAAGTCAGTTCCCCCCAGTGTCAGAATATCTGCTGCAGTCCCTCAGTCCCGCTATAAGTCGATTATCTCTGCCATTACTAGTAAAAATTGAAAAAAAAAATGAAAAATCTTTACCGCCATTTGTAAACGCTATAACATTCATGTAAACCAATTCATTTACACGTATTGGGATTTTTTTTTTTTTTAGTGAAGACATGGAGCAGAATACATTTTGACCTAAATTTATGATGGAATTTGATTTTTTACTGGACATGTTTAACCACTTGCCTACTGGGCACTTATACCCCCTTCCTGCCCTATAAACAAAAAAAGAGCAAAAAAAAAAGGTTTTCTTTGTTTTTATTTTAAAATTTAGCAAACAGGTAATTTTTCTCCTTCACCTATGTGCGTTGATGAGGCTGCACTGACAGGCAGCACTGATGGGCACTGATGAGGTGGCACTGATAGGCAGCACTGATGGGCACTAATAGGTGGCACTGATGAGGTAACACGGATGATGTTGTACTGATATGCAGCAATGTTGGGCACTGATGGGTGGCACTGACTGGTGGCACTGCTGGGAACTGATGGGCAGCACTGATGGGTGGCACTGCTGGGCATGGGTGGGTGGCACTGTTCAGTATTGTTGAGAGGCACTGCTGGGCACTGATCATCAGTGCCCTGATCATCAGTGCCGATCCATCCTCTGACAATTGCCAGTTCTCGGCAGTACTTTCCTCATGCTGTGACAGTGTGAAGAAAGTGGATCTGATAGCCGGCAACTGTATTTACCCGGTGATCTGCTGTGTCATTGTACACAGCTGATCACGTGGTAAAAGGCCGCTGTGATTGGCCTTTAACCACATCCTATGGACACAGCTGATCACAGGGATTGCTGGGTGAGTGCCACTAGAGGCGTGCGGGAGGGCGCATTCTGGGAGGTCATATGACGTCCTCCCAGAACTGGACAACCACACTGTAGCCGTCATTTGGCTATAGTTGCCAAGTGGTTAATAGCAAAAAGTCAAAAATATTGTTTTTATCTCAAAATTGTGCTTTGTTTTTTTTATAGCACAAAAAATAAAAAAAATGCTCAAATACCACCAAAAGAAAGCTCTATTCCTGGGAAACAAAGGATGTAAATTTTATTTGGGTGCAGCGTTGCATGACCGCGCAATTGTCAGTTAAAGTAATGTAGCGCGGTAATGAAAAAAATGGCCTGATCAGGAAGGGGGGGGGGACCTTAGGAGGGCAAGGGGCTACAGTAAGGAGTTCAGTGTTGGTTGGATGAGTCTCCTTTATACATGTGATATCAGCCTTAAGGTCCTAGTCACACTTGTTTGTTTTCATGGAGTCACATGTCAAGTAGAAATCCCATTATTTCCTATGTGGCCAGTTCCCATCTATGTGCCGCAGTTTAGTGTGAAGGGGAATCTACAGTTGTGACCAAAATTATTCAACCCCCAATGCTGTAAAGGGGTTTAGGGACTATAGTGTACATTTGGAATTGTATTCAGAATCAAATCCTACAAGGACGTTGTAACTACCCAAATGCAACTAAAATGACATCAATTGTTTATGTAATACAGTAGTAAATGGTTCTTATGTGGTTTCTTCATTGCCACAATTATTCAACCCCTTAAAGACTACCACTCTGAAGAACAGAGGTTCATACAGGTGCTTTCCATCAGGTATTGAAAACACCTGTGGATGTCACCGAGCAGCAATCAAGCATAATAAGCACCAATTAGGCAGCTTTAAAATGACTGTGATACTCAGCTCCTTCTAGACATTTACTGGTGTGGTTACAAACATGGTGAAGCCAAGAGAATGGTCCAGGAAGACAAGAGAAGAGGTGATTTCTCTTCACAGGAAGGGCAATGGCTATAAGAAGATTGCAAAGATGTTAAACATACCAAGAGACACCTTAGGAAGCATCATTCGCAAATTCAAGGCAAAGGGCACTGTTGAAACGCTACCTGGTCGTGGCAGAAAGAAGATGCTGACTTCGACTGCTGTGCGCTACCTGAAGCGTAGAGTGGAGAGAAGTCCCCGTGTGACTGCTGAGGAACTGAGAAAAGATTTGTCAGATGTGGGTACAGAAGTTTCAGCCCAGACAATAAGACGCACACTGCGTAATGAAGGCCTCCGTGCCAGAACTCCCAGGCGTACCCCCTTGCTGTCTCCAAAGAATAAGAAGAGTCGACTGCAGTATGCCAAAAGCCATGTGGACAAACCACAAAAGTTGTGGGATAGTGTTCTGTGGACTGATGAAACAAAATTAGAACTGTTTGGGCCCATGGATCAACGCTATGTTTGGAGGAGGAAGAACAAGGCCTATGATGAAAAGAACACCTTGCCTACTGTGAAGCATGGTGGAGGGTCAATCATGCTTTGGGGCTGTTTTGCTTCTGCAGGTACAGGGAAGCTTCAGCGTGTGCAAGGTACCATGAATTCTCTTCAGTACCAGGAGATATTGGATGGAAACGTGATGCAGTCCGTCACACACCTGAGGCTTGGGAGACGTTGGACCTTTCAACAGGACAATGATCCCAAGCATACCTCCAAGTCCACTAGAGCATGGTTGCAGAGGAAAGGCTGGAACATTTTGGAGTGGCCATCGCAGTCACCAGACTTAAATCCGATTGAGAACCTCTGGTGGGACTTAAAGAAAGCAGTTGCAGTGCGCAAGCCTAAGAATGTGACTGAACTGGAGGCCTTTGCCCATGAAGAATGGGCGAAGATACCCGTAGATCGCTGCAAGACACTTGTGTCAAGCTATGCTTCACGTTTAAAAGCTGTTATAACTGTAAAAGGATGCTGTACTAAGTACTAAGATTGAATGTCACTTGGGGGTTGAATAAAACTGATAATGCTGTGAGCACAGAAAAGACATTTGTGGTTATTTCATTATAACTGTTATGTTATATTTGTCTGACCTACAAGTGCCTCTTTAATGTAAATGTAAGCAAGATGACTGAATGATCAAAAGCAATGTCAAACTGGCCAAAACACTCAATTTCAGTGGGGGTTGAATAATTTTGGTCACAACTGTATATGGAGCCATTCACCCCTCCAGTGTGTACATCACCACGTACGCTGCAATGTACCAGCACCAGTGTAAATCCAGACTAAGACTTTTCAGGTGGGTGACAATTCACTTCCATTTTACAGGGGAGGTCCAACCAATATTCCATGAAATCATCCATCCAAATGTCCCAACATTTCCTTCTCTAAGACCCCGCCCATTGATTATTCATTGGAATGGGTCTACTTCTGTCAGTTACTGGAAGAACATTTCACCTCTCTTCTCCTGTTTCTCCCTCTAGTTTATGTGACTGTCAACTGACATTATCGTGCTGTGATGATCTTTGCTCAGTTATCACCACAAACCGAACTCTGACCATACTGTGGGCAACATTGGATGACGATGAGAAAATGTCAGTCTCAGAAGTGGAACATTTTTCTGAGGTCCTCCGGAATGCGGGCTTCATGGTGAATAGAGCACAGTAAGAATTGATCTATTTGGGGTATCACACATACTAAGCCTTGGAATGTGAATAGGAAAATGTAGACAACATTGGATGGTGATGAGATGACGGAAGGGGGGACTTTATTGGGAGGTCTTCTGACACCTGGGCTGCACTGTAATGAAAAAAGAACGGAGTGACAAAAATTCTATGAAATTGCTGTAGAACCCATTGGAGATCTCTGTAGTTATACAGATAATGAGAGAGATCATTAGGATTTCCCGTGGTTTCCCAATGGTTGGATGGCCATGAGTGTGGGGGCTCCAAACTTGGTGATGGGCCTTAAGTATTAGGTAGGTGATTCACAAGGTGGTGGAGGCCCTATAAATGAGGGACACTTCTCAAACCCCTAAAGTGTGAGGACAGTGGGGATGGTTTGGTGTATTTGCATACTGGGGTCAGTTATGAAGAAATGGGATCACACATTCCACCATCTACGTACAATCTACATCAGATCTCCTCCCAGCATAGGAGACCACTGACGTACATTGTACGGCTGCAGATTTATACATTACACATCGCACACATTTCCAGGAAGACAGAAAATACTTCCCATTAGCGTGTATAAAAATGACCATCATTTCCCACAGAGTACAGTACCAGCTCCCCCATTTCCATCATCACAGGAACGTTTCCTCCTCTAACACTCTCATTTTATTTTTCTATGAAGGGATGGAGGAGGCTGGACAGTATTTGCATGCAAAAGACGTTTAATAAATAGTCCTTGGGAAATATGTCAATTCCGCTTCAGGTAATACACGGATCCTGATATCAGGAGAATGTCCAGAATGAAATATATCAGATTAACCTGTTCTTGAAACTGACTATTCATCATTTTCCTTTTCTTCACATTCAGATGCAAGGTGTTCTATTCTCTGAGATCTACAGATCTTCTGAAATGATCTGAGCGGTGATCTGTCCTTCCAATTCCACCATTTTATATTGTATTGTTATGATTTTTGGATTTTCACACAAAACTGCCACCACCAATGAGACCAGCATGCTGGGAAATTCCTATTCATGTCATGAAGATTCCTCCTACGCAAGTAGAAGACACTAAATACACAGTGACTGTGCGGTGAGGACAGTGGGGGACGCTCTCCATCCTTCATCCCAAATTTCTTCTGTGGACGAATGAGGACACACCAGACTCTATCCTTGGATCCGATGGAGCTCTGACCATCCGTCTCTGGATTTTTACAAGCTTTGTACCATGTGACATATGGAGGATGATTTTCTAAAAACAGAGAGTGCAACATATGATGCAGCTGTGCATGGTAGCCAATCAGCTTCTAACTTCATCTTCTTCAATTAAGCTTTGACAAAAAACCTGGAAGCTGATTGGTTTCTATGCAGAGCTACACCAGATTTTTGAACTCTCCAGTTTTAGTAAATCATCCCCATGGCATATTTCATGTACCTTTCACAAACTTGTTCTTGTTTTGGATATCTCCTCCATACATAGAATTATACTGGAAGTTTATACTTGGATTGTAATGATTATTTTTTTTTATCAACCCATCTCCCCTCTATACACCAAAATGGTGTTCAGTAATAACTGTGAAATAAAAAAAATGCTAAAAATGGTCAGAAAATAAATGGAAAATGGAGATAGTGAAAATGTTTCTTAGCAAAATATTGTGTATTATTATTATTATTATACAGTATTTATTTAGCGCCAAAAAGTTTGCTCAGAGCTGTACATTATAGTAAGGGACAGTACATGAGACAATACAGTAACAATACAATACACGAGGGGTTTGAGGGCCCTGCTCCTTGGAGCTTACAATCTAGGAGGGAGGGGGTAGTGGTACAGGAGGAAATGGCTGTGGGAGATGGAGTGGTAGGAGGAGATCAGCTGTTAGGTGAGGGCGGAATAGGCTGCCCTGAAGAGGTGGGTTTTCAGGGTGCGCCTAAAGGTGAGGAGGGTAGATGACAGTCTGATGGATTGGGTTAGTGAGTTCCAGAGGATGGGGGAAGACCTGGAGAAGTCCTGCAGTCGGGCGTGGGAGGAGGAGACCAGGGAACTGGAGAGTAGGAGGTCTTGTGAAGAGCGAAGAGTACGTGTTGGGTGGTAGATGGATATCAGGTTGGTGAGGTAGTTTGGGGCAGTATTATGAATAGCTTTGTACATCAATGTTAGTAGTTTGAATTTTTTGTGTTGGGCAATCGGGAGCCAGTGGAGGGAATGACAGAGGGGGGTGGAGGATACGGAGCGGTTGGTAAGGTGGATGAGTCTGGCTGCTGAGTTCAGGATAGACTGAAGCGGGGATAGTCTGTGGTGAGGTAGGCCGGTGAGGAAGGAATTGCAGTAGTCGAGTAGTGAGATAATAAGGGAGTGAACAAGTTGTTTAGTAGTGTCTGGGGTTAGGAACGAACGTATTTTGGAGATGTTGCGGAGGTGGAGCCTGCATGAGTTTGTCAGTGATTGGACCTGGGGCTGGAAGGATAGATTGAAGTCTAGAGTGACACCTAGAACTTTGGCTTGTGGGGTGGGACTGATGGAGGCGTTGTTGGTCGTGATGGAGAGGTGGGGGGGGGGGCACGGGCTGGGGGGAAAACTAGGAGCTCAGTTTTGGAAAGGTTTAATTTGAGGAAGTAGAGTGACATCCAGTCTGATATGTCGTTCAGTAGGCAGGTGATTCGGGTGGAGACTAAAGGGGTGAGGCGAGGGGTAGAGAGGTAGATTTGTGTGTCATCGGCGTAGAGGTGGTAGTTGAAGCCGTGGGAGTGTATCAGTTGGCCAAGGGAGGAGGTGTAGATGGAGAAGAGAAGGGACCTGAGAACAGAGCCTTGGGGGACCCCAACAGAGAGGGGGGGGGAGAGAGGGGGAGGTGGCAGCGTTATAGGTAATGCTGAAGGAGCGTTGGGATAGATAGGAGGAGAGCCAGGAGAGAGCGGAGTCTCTGATGCCGAGGGAGTGTAGTTTTTTAAGGAGGAGGGGGTGGTCAACTGTGTCGAAGGCCGTGGAGAGGTCGAGGAGTAGGAGGACTGAGTAGTGGCCATTCGCTTTGGTGGTTAGCAGGTCGTTGGTGAGTTTGAGTAGGGTGGTTTCGGTGGAGTGTAGGGAACGGAAGGCAGACTGTAGTGGATCAAGGAGGTTGTTATCGTTGAGGTGGGAGTTTAGGCGATTATAGACTAAGCGCTCGAGGAGTTTGGATGTAAATGGCAGCAAGGAGATGGGTCTAAGGTTCAGGTTGGTGGGGTCCAGGGAGGGTTTTTTGAGTATGGGGGTGATGTGCGTGTGCTTTAGGGGGGAGGGGAATGCACCAGTAGAGAGGGAGAGATTGAAGATGTGGGTGAGGGAGCGTAGGATGGAGGAGGAGGGTGACCGTAATAGTTGTGTGGGGACAGGGTCAAGGGGGCAGGTGGTGAGGCGGGCTTCGGAGAAGACCTTAGTGACCTCTTCAGTGGTAGCAAGGTCGAAGGAGTGGAGTGTTGGGGGGTTTTAGTGTGCGGGATGTTGAGTGGGGTGGGGGTCTGGGCAGTTGTGAGGTCAGAGGAGGGGAGTGTTGAGGGGGTTATCATGGGAGGGAGGCTAGGTGGGGTGGAAGTCTGAGCATTGGCAATGTCCCTAGGGGTAGGGTATACATAAGTATGGCAGTGAAAAAAAACTTATGGGTTTAATAGTGGTGTACATAGTGCTCTGTGATGTCACATTGGGATATTAGTGTTGTACATAGAGCTCTGTGATGACATGTTAGGATATAAGTGGTGTACATAGTGCTCTGTGATGACACATGGTGATATTGGTGGTGTACATAGTGCTCTGTGGTGACACATGGAGATATTGGTGGTGTACATAGTGCTCTGTGATGACACATGGTGATATTGTTGGTGTACATAGTGCTCTGTGGTGACACATGGAGATATTGGTGGTGTACATAGTGCTCTGTGATGACACATGGTGATACTGTTGGTGTACATAGTGCTCTGTGATGACACATGGTGATATCGGTGGTGTACATAGTGCTCTGTGGTGACACATGGAGATATCGGTGGTGTACATAATGCTCTGTGGTGACACATGTAGATATCGGTGGTGTACATAGTGCTCTGTGGTGACACATGGCGATATCGGTGGTGTACATAGTGCTCTGTGATGACACATGCTGATATAAGTGGTGTACATAGTGCTCTGTGATGACACATGGTGATATTAGTGGTGTACATAGTGCTCTGTGATGACACATGGTGATATTAGTGGTGTACATAGTGCTCTGTGATGACACATGGTGATATGATAATAGTGGTGGACATAAGGCTCTGTGAGGACACATGGTGATATTGGTGGTGTACATAGTGCTCTGTGGTGACACATGGTGATATTAGTGGTGTACATAGTGCTCTGTGATGACACATGGTGATAATGTTGGTGTACATAGTGCTCTGTGATGACACATGGTGATATAAGTGGTGTACATAGTGCTCTGTGGTGACACATGGTGATATTGGTGGTGTACATAGTGCTCTGTGGTGACACATGAGAGATATTGGTGGTGTACATAGTGCTCTGTGGTGACACATGGTGATACAAGTGGTGTACATAGTGCTCTGTAATGACACATGGTGATATAAGAGGTGTACATAGTGCTCTGTGATGACACATGGTGATATAAGTGGTGTACATAGTGCTCTGTGGTGACACATGGTGATATAAGTGGTGTACATAGTGCTCTGTAATGACACATGGTGATATAAGAGGTGTACATAGTGCTCTGTGATGACACATGGTGATATAAGTGGTGTACATAGTGCTCTGTGGTGACACATGGTGATATAAGTGGTGTACATAGTGCTCTGTGATGACACATGGTGATATAAGTGGTGTACATAGTGCTCTGTGGTGACACATGGTGATATAAGTGGTGTACATAGTGCTCTGTGATGACACATGGTGATATAAGTGGTGTACATAGTGCTCTGTGGTGACACATGGTGATATTGTTGGTGTACATAGTGCTCTGGTGACACATGGAGATATTGGTGGTGTACATAGTGCTCTGTGGTGACACATGGAGATATCGGTGGTGTACATAGTGCTCTGTCATGACACGTGGGGATATTAGTGGTATACATAGTGCTCTGTGATGACACATGGAGATATTAGTGATGTACATAAGACCCTCCCCCACATACATACACTTTAAAAAAGCAACAGGCTGAGACTGTCAGTTACAGGCTGTGTGCTGCAGCTCAATCCCGTCACCTTATTTCTCTTGGTGTCAGGAAAACTTGTCAGAAGTGACTCATGCTGATAACAGAGGAACTAGACAGCAGAGAGAGAGATGACACTTAGGGCTTATTTACTAATGCTGGAGTGTGCAAAATCTGGTATAACTCCGCATAGAAACCAATCAGCTTCCAGGTTTTATTGTCAAAGCTTAATTGAAAAAGCTGAAGTTAGAAGCTGATTGGCTACACAGCTGCAGCAGGTTCTGAGTGCTCCAGTTTTAATGAATCAACCCCTAAGCGCTTTCAGGAGAGGCAAGTAAACACTACAGAAATATGTTCTCACTCTTGCGTTCATTGACAGACACCACCTCTCTTCTTATTCATGACCAAATGGCTTTATAGTGCCATCTACAGGTGGAGGACACTAGGAAGAAAAAAAACTTGGCATCTTCTTTGGATAGACTTTTCTGGGCATAAAACCCCCTTTCTGCTATAGGCCAGTTTTTCTGCCTAGTGTCATCAGGAGTATGGACCTAGTCCCCTGCCGGAACCTGTGGCTCCATAGCTTTTCTTTTTTCCTGGGCTGAGCAGTGGGTTGGATAATCTAGATCTAGTGGTCACCCCAGTCTGGCCAACAAGCTCAACACTGGGTCAGCCGCAGCACAGCCCCATCCTGGACCAGGGAGTTAAACATCTCATGGAC